CCCCAAAACCCCAAAACCCCAAAACCCCAAAACCCCAAAACCCCAAAACCCCTCTATGCCACCAAGAGTTGAATTATTGCACTAGAAATTAACATCAAATGGTGCAAATTTTCTGATATTTATCATGACATTTATGCATGTTGAGCAAATTACTGAAAATATTTTTCTAGTCTAAAATTGTCTTAGAATATCAGCTAAAAGAGGAGTGGATAGGTCCAGATTGCTCTAAATCTTGGGGAAAGATATCGTATAATATATAAAGACCCCTTAGTTTGTCTAATTTTGATAATTCTTATTGAAAAAGAAATATGAGAGTTAAAGATATTTCATGAAGTTTTATAAGATGAGTTTGGATTTTAGGCTAAGGTTTGGCTGAAGTGAAGAATTTAATATTTCTCCTTAAGTTTACGATTACTAACAAAGCCCAGCAATGAGAGAGAAGTTTTATATGCGTTCATTTATGTTTGAGAAATATGTTTATCTTCTTCAAATAGGCATTAGAATAATTAAATAAAGTTTAGCAAGAATCGATAGCATCGATACTATTAAATCTTTTATAAGCCTTCTTTATCATCTCCCTCTTGAACTGAGACTCTTTCCTTCCTTGATAGCCGAAAGAGGCATATAGTAACTTCATTTTATCATTATCTGAATTTTTCCTGGTCGCTTTGGAAGTAAGTTTGGGAATACTAATAGATTCACATGAAGATTCAGCGGTCTCATCTCCTAAATGAGTGTTAGGCCTTAATCCTCTTGTAGCATCAACACTGGCATTGTGATGTTTTGTAGAGAAATCCAGGCTTCTTCTGCATACATTTCCGAAATTTCTTTCCATCCTACTTCCATTTTTACGAGTTTTGCCATCTGCGAAATGAGATAAAATCTCAGATTTTTTAATTCCGATTTTTCTTTTACCGATTAAGGGAGACATAGGGAGGATTTTAGTAGGTAAATACTTTGCTAGCTCCTTCTTCTGCAGAAGAGGCCTCTTCATGTTCATTGAGTCAATTCTTTTTCTCTTAATCCTAGGTCCAGCACCTAATTTCAGAATAGGAATGCTGCCCTTTGGCTCTGGGCTTCTAATGATGTTTTGATTGTTAGGTGAATTTCGTTCATTTATCAATTTCTTTCTATTGTCCATATCTTTTCGCTTATGGTTGCTCATTATGATGAAATCGTTCCTCTTATGGTCTGCCAAGTTAGTAATGCTCATAGTTTTGTCCATTTCTTCAAGAATGTAGTTGGAAAGCCTGCCCCAGAGGTCAGACTCCTCCTGGGTCTGGCCAGGTCCTAATGGAAGTGGGGCGTACTTTGCCATGCACTCATACTGATTGTAGGGAGCATAGAAGAACTTTAGCTTCTTCGCAGTGGACCGTTTGGGGAGGTACATGTATCTATTGAGTCTTTCTTGGATGTCTGATGTTTTATTAGCATTCCTAAGCTTATAAGCTCTCTTTGCTTCTTTCTTGGTTAGATTCATTTTTCTTATTAATTATTTATTTATTAAATGAAATTTTTTATCTCTTAAATCAGAAGAGCTACCAATTTTTGGGGAAAGGTCTAAAAAATTATCAAGGCAGTTCGAGAGAAAATAAGAGGTCGCTTTGGCAGGTGATACTGTTTTAGGGAGATAAATATTGTGGTAGATGGTTCAAGCTGAACTGGCATTTGCATCTGAAGAATATAGTATAATATAATGGTAGCACAAATTAGAAGTTTGGTGAACGAAATTTGATTCGGAACTGTTTGAATTCTCGGGAAAGCTATTTGAACTATAATTTAGAGAGAAAATTTTTTTTCGTTAAAGATATTTGAAATGTACTCCCCCGAGGCTCTATGAAGCCTAATTTAAAAACTAATAACCTCCAGACTTACCGAACAAGTCCAAAATCAATCCCCTTCCACCACCTCTAACCCTCCACAACCTCATCTCTCAACTCCAAAACCACTCTCTTTGCTAAGACACAACCCTTCAACCCCCATTTTTCTCAAACATTTTTTCAATCCTACTCTCAGCTTCTGGGGTTTTGGGGTTTTGGGGTTTTGGGGTTTTGGGGTTTTGGG